CTTTTTTCTTGAAGTAGTACAACTTTATTCTTGTTTTAATAATGACTTTTTTCTCAAAATCAAAGATTTTTTTTCATAGTGTGGCTCTGATACACTTTTGTATTTTTGTCTGTGGCGTCGATCAAATTAATTTTGGTGGATTAGTGAAATATTCAGTGTCATGAAGACAAGATGTCACCTGGATGAGCTGTAGACTGGTGTCGTCAGTGACAGAGGGCCTCGCCATTGAAAAACAGGTCCCAAGCCACGGCAGCAGGCGTGTTTTGAGGGTGTCCACTCCAGCATAGTGTCCACCTTTTTCATGAATTAAAAACAGAGCGTGTGTTGAGAACTTCATGAGGGATTAAAACCTGTTTAATGCTTTGGAAGTGAAAGTGTAAATGCATATGCTTACCTTCAGCAGCTGTGAGGTTGAGGATGGCAAACAATTGGCCCTGGATCTTGGCGGTTAGTTCGATCAGCTCACAACATCTGTTTAGATTCTGGTCACAGGAAATAACCTGGGAGGGCAAATATGACAAACAACAGGCTAATGAACCAGACAGACCTTTGCTGTGTACGGCCACAGACAAATTAATTTCAGACACATGGTGACAGGGAGACGAATGTTCCACTTAGTCAGTCAATATTTACATTCAGCTTATCAGCTTTTGACACCACACAGAAGATTGAGAGTCCCACAGGTTTCATTAAACAGGTTGAGGAACTCTTTTGTTCCTCAGTCTGTCAACCTATAAAATCAGAGTATGGCTCCTAATTAGCCTCAGGGTACCTAAACCCAACACTGAACACAAAAGGAATGATTAATTTGTTGCACTGCACCATCGTTTGATATGTGATTTGTCGCGTTTGTAGTACGGTTTTGTTGTTTGGTTACATGACAAATGTCTAATTTATTCTGAAAATGAAGTCAAATCCAAACCATAAAAGCATTTGAAACTGTAAAATATTACAGACTTTATCCTGTCGGTTTGCTTTTTTCTGTTGTACTGATATATTTTCTGTGATGGATGAATATATAATGTTGGTATTGTATAATTGTAGTCATTACGACTGTTAATATTTCTTTTAAAAAAACCCACCAGTAACATTTTTAATGCCCAAAGGCAGAATTGTTTTAACAGACAGATGAGGGCACATTTCTCACTCAGACCAAAAAAGGTTTCAAAGGCTATCCAAAAAAGCAACAGGTATTGATGTTGCCAGCTCTGTTTTCAATGAGAAACTTTATGACACAAGTGTTTAGTGCCATACATTGACAGTTGTGTTCTTTAATAGATTTTTTAAAGATCTTAATTAACCAGAATCTAATTTAAAAAAAAAAAAACAAAAAAAAAAAAACACACACACACAAGTGATACCAATCAATCGCAATAAAACAAGCAAACAGAAACAGAATGCCAGGAGACAATATATAGCTACATATACAAAGCCAGAAGACATAATTCATTCATACAAATGCATTTAAAAAGATGCACAAATTCATTGTCCTAATAACCATATTATTTTTGGGGAGAGATTTAGATTTCATATATTGCCTGGTTCATTTTCAATTGAAATGATTATTTTGTGGATATGAGGTTTTGCTAAAAGAATGATTAGGATAATATTCTTTGATTTTATTGCCAGGACATTTATTGAAACCAAACAAAACGTTTTGTAGGCACAAAGGGAAATCAGAGTCAGTATTATCAATAATAAACTACTCAAGTCCTTCCTTGGCTTCTTAGTAAGGGCACAATGCCAAGATAGACGAATTTACATTGATATTCCTTTCAACTTGACAAGATAATAATTAGCTTTGTAATGTCTAAACTCCAAGATTTTCATACACTCTCTACCAGACTAAAATGCAACATCTTCTTGGAGAAAATAGTGTTGGGCCATAGATGCAGCAAGACATGCCAATGCATGTTCCAGCCGAAGAGACAACCAACACAACAATATATAGGCCTAGTTCATCTAATCACAGATCAGACTCTGCCTTTTTATTTTTATTACTCCTTCACTTACTAAGTTTTTCCTTTTGAAATTAACGTATGTGCATTTGTAATAATACATTGTTGTTGTTTTTTTTAAATTTTCACGATCTTAAATTATCATTGTGCTCAAGCAACTCATAAGAAAGGGGTAAATTCCAGATATTTTTCCGATAAAGGTCTTTTGTAAGGCTGTTCCAGTAAGTAACTACATAAGGATAAGAGACAACATCACTCTAAAATAACTTGCATATGTCTTTTTTGTTATTTGTGGTAGAAACCCAATGCATTTATAGAATAACCTGCCTATATTTAAAGTTTAAAACAGTTCCTCTGGCACATGAGAGAAGTTTGTCTTCAGGGTTTTTCATTTTAACCCAAACCATAATATTTAAAAATAATAATAATAATAATAATAATAACCTAACCAATAAAGTTGTTTATGGCAGAAGCCCTGAAGGCAAACTTCATCCAACCAGCGTCCCTCTGTTAGTTGTTCCGGTCTGCGTCGCCACCCAGCGGATTTCTACAGGAAGTCACAGGATGTGAACCATCTGGAAGTAAAAGATCTTTGGAAAAGTCCAACCGTAGCCATGGCGACTGGCGTCCATAGCAACCAAACTCTACCGAGAAATCAATGTCATCTAAACAAGTGCATTCCTCTGCTGTAGTGCTGTGAATTATTTCATGCATCATACAAACTACTGTGCAACAACTGCGCCAGCCATTATTGAAATAACAATGGGTAAAAGAATATAAATTTTATAGGAGATAGTGAAACAATCAGCAGTCGACAGCGGTAAACAGAGACAGTTATACTGTCTAGAGGAGGAGGTTATGTTATCTGCAACGCTTTGACTGAAACTTAAATTTCAAGTTTACACAAATGTAATTTTATGCCTCCACAACAGCAGATATCGATGCTGACCGAGGGCACCGATGAAGTGCTCTGGTCAGATTTAGGTCGCTCATTACTAATTGATGAACTTACATGGTAGTCTTTGTGCCAGCTCTCAAGCTTGTCCTGTAAGACGCTGAAGGAAGATGTATTAGTCAGTCTCCTCAACGTGTCGGCCATGTCAGTCCTCAGTAGGCCTAACCAATGCGCGGAGGGTTAAAACGCCTCAGGAGGAGGACAGCAGCCGCCGGGGGTGTGATCTTCAAGGGGAGTGCGGTGCAGTAAAAATTCCTGTCCTGGCAGCTTTCTCCACCTACGACACAGATGCCAAGCACCGCCTCAGTTGTGACAACCGAGCGGGACGAGTCGACACCGTAAACCACACAGTGTTTTGAATCTAAATACCTCGGGACGGATAAACTAGAAGCTCGGCTCTTTGTGTCAGTCAGTCCTCTGCACGTTCTGCTCTCCCCTCATGTAAATACGATTGTAATGTCATACTGTCAAACGACACCAAAGGCCCGCAGAGTCAACCCTGAGGCTCGGTAACACACACATCCTATGCTGATGTTTCCGTATTAAGTGGCTGTGTTAGATTAAATCCGATTATAATATACAGCAGGCCATACTGAACTGAATTACACGTGCAGGGCGGGCTGTCAAATCATCAGCACATTTAAAACCATAGCAAGTAGCCAGAATTACATGATCACGTGTGATTTAAGACTGAAACCAGGAGCAGACTACTGCACATAAGAGGCATGCAATACTAATGCAAATTTTAATATAATAATATCTATAATGACAGAGTTCAACAAAATCACTCAATTGTTATATTAATAGCATACTATTTGCAACATTTTAAAAAGGATAAGACCAAAACATAGACTGTATAAATAAGGGCCAAAATAACAAAATAAAATACATGAATATCTGTATTTTATCATTTCAGTCCATACCCTTTCCTGATCTGATGCAGCAGTCTCGCATTAATTTTAATTTTAATTAATTTTTCTTACCTATATTGCTCTTCATATCTTCTTTGGTACTGAAGATTTCATTTTGGTGTTGTACATAGGGCAAGGCAGCTTTATTTGTAAAGCACATTTCATACATATACAGTATATATAGTACACTACTATACATATTTAGATTTTAGTTTTTATAGATTTTATATTTTATTTTATTGTTTCTTACTTTTAGTATTAGTAAATGTCTTTATGTGTTGTGCATTTTATTGTTACTTTAGTGTTAGGAAATGTCTTGTCTTTAACTGTTGTGCTCGTGCATTTTATCCTGTCACCGTGGGATAGAGAGAAACGTCTCCTCGATTCCTCTGTATGTCTGGTACATGTGGAGAAATTGACAATAAAGCTGACTTTGACTTTGACTTTGATTCACAAGGGCAATTCAAAGTGTGTTGCAGAGCAATACAATATAAAACATAAATAATACATGAAATAGTAAAGAGAAAAAAGCTCTATGGGGTAAAATTAAATAGCCTAGTAAGTGATTTACAATTTAAAAAAAATCACAATTCAAAATAGCAAAGGTGCAGACAGTAGGTGCAAAGATAAAAACATTATTTAAAATAAGTTTATAAATAAGGTTGCAGTTATTACAGGGTGGAGAAGGCAATGTTAAAGACAAATGTTTGTAGCTTTGACTTAAAAATGGTCAGAGTTGGGGCATAACATTGACATCATTGCCTTTTGCTTTGCAGCAAAGTGTTTTAATTAAATCCAGAGTTTACTGTAAAACTGTTCCTGTTAAATGTTTTTCATTGCTGCTTAGATTTTATTGTTAATGAATAAAGAGATCTTGGATGAGGCATTGAGTATTATGGCTCGTTGGCAGTTTACCTATGGAAAATATGAATGGACATGTTTTTCTATTTTAGGATCCTTGTCATTGGCTTGATGAACTTGGGATGAACCATTTTTTATTAACATAGAAACGTCTTTTTTTTTGTTAGGGCATTTAGCGTAAACTACAAAAACCCGGGAGTTTGTTCTCCTTCGTATTATCATTCCCTTTTTATTCTTGAATAAATGTTGTGTACTCGGTAAGTTACATTAAAACAATAACCTGTGTCGTCACCCTCGACGGTGACAAGTGGTACGGCCCTGTCACTGTGCGAGCAGGAGAGGGAGGGTCAACATGGCGTCTGAACAGGTCCGTTATGTTTAATATTTGTTGTTTTTCTTGCATTTTACCCCGTTTTTGCTAATGCGTTTTATAATAGGGTAGTAATGTATGTCCCCGAGTGACTAAATGTCATAATTATAAATGTACTGGGCTCTGTTGTCGGTCATACGTGTAATAAATAGCGACCTCCGCTGCCGTTATTATAGCTAGCGTTATATGGATATAAAATTATTGTAGCAGATCTGCTGTCAAACAGCAATGCCATTTTGCTAATATAAAGAGCAGAGAAGCTGTATGATACCGAGACAATCGAGTGTGTCTCTATTTTGATGCTAAAATGAGTGCAGTTTATTTTTAGTTCTGCCACAGACAGGCTGTCGAGGGGATTTTAACTGAGATGCATTCCAACGCAGAGCACAAGACACATTGGAAATAAGCAGGAGCCTAAAGTTTGATATGGATATGTATAGTAAATGTACATTTGTGGAGAATGTCATACACAGAGAAGGCCATGGTTTACAACTCTGAGCTAGAATTAGCCTGGAAACAGTTTATTACCTCTATGTGTGTAACTGCACTGGGATTTCAAGGTATGTAAGATAAGATAAGATAGAGCTTTATCTATACTGAGGGAAATAGCTTTACAGCAGTTGTAATGCAAAGTTGTAAGTGTGCACATACAAAGAGTGCAATAAACAAAAACTATAATGTGTATATTATAGGGATGCACATTACTATGTCCTCGGCAATGTAAAGATATATCGTTATCGAGATATGAGACTATACACCATTTTGATTTTGGATATCGTATCGTTATAAGACATAAATGGTCTTTTTCCCTAATTTTAAAAGCTGCATTACAGTAAAGCAATATAAATATATCAACTTACAAGACTTATGTTTGTTTTAGCACTTGCCTTAACCCAATTAGTCATTACATAGCCACATTATTGATGATTATTGATCAAAAATCTCATTGTGTTAATATTTTCTGAAAAAACAAACAGTCAACAAAAAGTCATCCCTACAACATAGTCACATCAGAGAGAGTATTTGGTCAGAAATATTAGTATGTTTGTTTTTGTTTACGAGTCGTAGCATTGATGAAGTGCTCTTGAGGAGATTTAAAAATATCACGATATATATCGACTATGGAGATTTAGTCCAGAAATATTATGATGTAATTTTCAGGACATATTGCCCAGCCCTAGTCCTCAATATCGGCCGATATCGGCTTTAAAATGAAATATCAAAATCGACCAACATGCTTTGTCTTATTTAGCACAATGAATGAATGTTACATACATTGTATTGTAAAAGAGATATTGTATTTCATGTCTCCATCTGCTGGTGGACTGTCACGATGAGAGTACGCATGGATAATATGATGTTAATTCCACTACATGTACATAAAATAGACTTGATGTCATTGTATCATCAAATGCTCTTGTATAGTTTTTGTTTTTAAAGCTATAGTGTGTAACTTGTGTCGCCTCCCAGCGGATAATGCGTTATTACAACTAATAAGCGGGCGGCCCTTCCATGTACACAGAGTAACACTCGCCACACACCGTGTACACAGAGTAACACTCGCCAGTCACCACACACCTTGTACACAGAGTAACACTTGCTTCACACCGTGTACACAGAGTAACACTCGCCAGTCGCCACACACCGTACACAGAGTAACACTTGTCTTTGTGGTAGGATCCACTTCTGAACCGTGTCTCGGCCGCTTCTCCGCCATGTTGCTTTCTCTTTCTACCTGTGCTCTACCTCTTGCTGTGACACTCTCCGCTCTTCCTCCCCCTCTCTTCATGTTGTGAGGAAGCATTTCCTGTGCGCCAGCGCGGGAATGTCGCCGGTCGACACGCATACTAAAAATGATATATATTGAAAAATACCGCGAGATGTTAGAGGAGCCAATCGGCTTAATCAGCATTGTGTCATCTCCTCTAGTAGTGGCTTGGGTGAAGTGGACATTTACGGACCTGTAGAAGTTACGCACTATAGCTTTAATGTATTCTTGTGAGCCTCTAGGGTTGCAGTGATATATCGGTTTCAAGGCACACAGTGATATAAAAGTTGACAGTTATCATACGGTGCACATTTGCTTATCCATGATATTGAAAAAAAAATGCAACTGGACGGAGAATCTCCCCTTTGTTTTTGTTATTTTCAAATGGGAGACATTTTACACAAACATCCGTTAACAAAATGGTTTCAAGTTTTAATTAGAGTAATAAAACGTTTGTACAACAACAAATAACCCTTCTGTTTTCATTCCTTTAAGGGTCACTCTGACTGATGATAATATAAACTCTGTAATACCGTGAAACCGCAATCTTTTCTGAGACTGTTATTGTACCCTGAAAATCTCATACCGTTGCAACCCTATGTGCCTCTATATTTTTGTCACTATCTATACTTACCTGTATATTATCTTAAATTTGATTTTGAATTCAAGTCTTAGTATGAAACCAAACAAATAAGTAGTTACTATTATATGCAGTTTAACAACATAATTATTTACTGATTTCTTAGTGCTTTCCTTAGTGATTTTAGTGTCCTGCTTCAGAGATTGTTTTGCCTTCCAGGAGAGCTCCAATGGGCCCGTGAAGAAGTCCATGCGAGAGAAGGCGATAGAAAGACGTGGTATCAACAAGGAACACAACAGTAACTTCAAAGCAGGCTATGTACCCATAGAAGAGGAGCGTCTTCATAAGACAGGGCTGAGAGGACGCAAGGGAAACATGGCTGTCTGCGTTGTTGTCCTCCTCTTCCTCCTCGCCTTAATCAACCTCATTGTGAGTTCCATAAATGTACTCATCCATCTAATAGATCCTCATATACTTTCCTGAAAATGATGGCAAAGAGTTGACACAGACAAACTGGTCATTATGTTGTTGCCTGAATAATGATCCTTTATAATCTGCAACAACTCCACTGTCCCTCAGATCACTCTGGTAATATGGACAGTGATACGTATTGGTCCAAATGGGTGCGACAGTATGGAGTTCCATGAGACCGGCCTGCTACGCTTCAAACAGAAGGCAGACATGGGCATTGTTCACCCACTGCACAAGAGCACAGTAGGAGGCCGCAAAGACCAGGACCTGGTTCTTGTTGGCAACAATAATCCGGTGAGAAACACAGAGTACACTTACAGTCAACATTGATCATTTTATATACATGGAAAATGACACGCTGTGAGCATGCTCCTCAAACTCTTCTCTTTGTTCTATGTATGTTGTTCCAGGTTGTGTTCCAGCAAGGCACTACTAAGCTGAGTGTAGAGAAGGACAAGACCTCAGTCGTCAGTGATGTTGGCATATCCTTCACAGACCCTCGCACGCAGACCACATTCTTCAGCACAGACTTTGAAAACCACGAGTTCCATTTGCCCAAAGGAGTCAAAGTTCTCAGTGTCAAAAAGGCCTCCACAGAAAGGGTGTGTATAACGCTAATAACATCTAATAGATGTAACAAAATAATATTTATAGCATCAGTTATAATGTTAGTGTTTCACAACCTGTGCTCAAAGTACTCACAGTACGCGATAACCCATAAAGGTGAATGTCATTTTTAGAATTTCTGAAAATTAATGAAGAAACAGGGTGTCTGCAGGTCCACAAAAAGTCTTGAAATTGAAAAAAATTCAACGTGTGAGGGCTTATTTGCAGCAATCATTTGATCCAATTTAATTTATCCATCTTTTAATTTCCTTTTCTCAAAATGAGTCAAGCTTTTCTGGGTGAAAGTCCATATTTGCTTTTTTTGTGCGGAGATTTGTTTTTCTAAAGAAATGAAGGAAAGAACAAAAAAAACATTAACTATAACAATACTATTACTTTAATATATATACAGAGAGGATGTAATAAAACTAAACCTAAGTGACGTACAAACATATGTTTATAAACTCACAAATGGATCAGAAATGATCAGAGTTGGGAAAGAAAAACAAGAAGTTATTCAGCATCAATGAACATCCACATTGCTGATTGCTGATGAACCTAATGTTGTACTTTATAATTGCACTTACCAGGTGGTGAAATGTAGATTAATCTAACTCACTTTAATAACCATATTCCTACCTAAAACATACCTCTGCACAGGACCACACATATGTACTACTTACCTTTATACTTACCTGCAATGCTTGAATATGAAAAATTAAAATTAGATTTAAATTTGTTGATAAATTATCTTAAAAAGGACTTGAAAAGCATTAAATATAAGTGTGTGATACCTGCAGACATCCTGATAAAGCATTAAAAGGTCCTCAGGAACACACTCAATTTCATCAGTTTAGACTCGAGTAGAAATTCAGTTTTTAACATGGCAAGGACTGAACGTACCGACCCTGAAAATTCTGGAATATCTGCAGAATAAGTACCTGAATGTTCCTGTGTTGCCAAACCAAAGCCCAGATTACAAATGTAAAAATCCAGGGAGACGTGAAGTTTGCAGTTCACCATTACAGACAGAGTCTGAGAGAATCTGAATGAAACGCAGGTGTGCGAAGCTGATAAGAAGACTCAAAGCTGTGTTCCCCAGCAGCAGCAGTGTTCTTACAATGCTACAAACTGAAGGCCAAAAATAAACACAGAGAAAATATTTTAGCTTTGCATCTTTAATAAACGGGGAAAAATGATTTTCAAAACTTGCTCACAGTGTGATTTGAGGACATTCTGTGTGACGGCAAAGCCAAAGCCTCTATAAATGTTGTTTGTCGTTTTAAGGCCTGCGATGTCAGACTCCAACTTTGCAGAGCAGTGTTAGTACACTTAATGTGACTTTTTTCCATCATTTATGATTTGTGAGCTTGATGTATTGTTACATTCACACTCCATAAGGGTTTACAAATCTCATGTTTTGTCTCTGACGTTAGATCACCAGTAGTGCAGCGTCTGACCTGAACATTAAAGGCGACAGCAAGGCCATCATTCGTGGAAATGAGGGCGTCAACATCATGGGCCGCACTGTAGAGTTCAAGATGGGCGGAGGCATCGAGCTCAGGGCTGTGAGTATTCTTTCACACACATACAAATGGGCACTGGGGGGGGCGGCGACCAAGCTGCCAATTTGTTGGAGGTGCAAACACTGGAGGCGGAGGTACAAACCACCAACCCTACCCTTTAATATGAATATGATACGCATATTTTAATCATAGTCTCTTTTTATAAATGTCATCCGATTACAATTCTCAACTTGAGCCAAGTGCAGTTGCACGGTATTACCTCAAGTTGGGGCTTTGTTGCCTGAATGATTGTCCCTATAGATTGCCTGGTGATGTTTGGTTGACTGATGAATGAATTAATGAAAGGCCACTGGTAGACTCCAGAAACATTTACGTTAACCTGATAGACACTTGTAATGCCTGCGCTACGAAGCAAGTTATGTAGTTGGACGATGGAGAAACTACTCTGAATATGTCACTTTAAAACACTTAAAGTCAGACTGTTTCTGTTTTCGAAGCAAAGAGTGGGAAACTAGTTGATGACAGATGAGGTCTATATGACCGTAGTGTTGCATTTATTATCATTTATGATCAGTTATCATCATGGGAGCCAAAAGTATTGTTTTTCTTTGGTTTTTATTTCCAGTTATCGTCACACAGATGTCTCGTGTTATTCTGAGCTGCAGTGCTGGAATCAGGGTGTAAAATCAGCCACACTGTCAGCCAGACAGGGATAAAATAAACTTTGCACAATTAAAATGCAGCTAGAATCATCATCCTTTGTTTAATGTCAGAAACAATCTCTCTGTTTGTTAGAAGCTCCATTTAAAAACCAGAGTGGAAATCAAAAGCCTGAAACAAACAAACAAAAAAGATTCTAATGATCTATAAAAATATTAGGGCTGCACCTGACTAAGAATTTCCCCAGTCGGCCATATCAGTAACATTGTTAACACTGTGCTACATTACAGAGAAATACAAAACCGTACTAATGAACCTTCATTAATATAGGCCCATATTTTATCTACAAGTGCACGTCACACACTGAGCGAGCCGCCTGTTAATGACGCTGTGGGCTAATGGGCATGTAGCTACTTCCATGTTTCAGATGATACGTCATGTTTGTAGTCGACCAATGAAGATGAGTTTACATATCACCTTGGGTTCGTCCTTCACCTTCTCAAAATGATCCCACACTTTGAATTTCCTGCCCGACATGTAATTAACTAGCCTGTGGAATAACCGCAGGTACCAGCCCTTGAAATTAACCTGACTCCTGTCTGACTGCTGAGCGTGGACACTTCCTGTGTCTGTCCTTTCAAAATAAAGTCACACATGGTCCATTCATATAAGTTTTGATTTATTTTGACAAGGTACAGCTCCTAATAGAGATTTGCTTTTTTTGTTTTTGTTTACTGCAACCAAGCAACCAATGAAGTCTTGCCAACTAATGACCTTTCTGGTCGACTATCAGGGAACAGACCTGAAAAATACGTTGTACAACACATTGTCAGTACTACATTATAGTTAGACCTGTTTTCAACCCAAATTTCCATTTATCGCAAGCTGTAACAAACTATAACTATAACTAACGGACTCATTGTGCAGATGACTACTTGTGAGAAAAATCATTAATCTGACTAATAAACCAATGGGTTTTATAATCCGTTGTGTTTCTAGCACAACCCTTTGCCCAAAGTGCTCTTTTCTCAGGCTCCTTTTCATGGCTCTGGAATTTAAGGAATATTTGGAGCTCCCGTCTTCATTTTCATGAGGTAATGGTTCTTGCAGGTCCCTGCACTACACCACATCACCATAGTTATGCACTGACACTGAAGAAAATAGCAATATTTCAGAGTGATAAACAGTTAATCCTGGCGATCCCAAAGCCGATACCCTGTTTGTTTGCACCTCCAACACAGTGGCAGTTAAGTCAGGATGACGTCACCACAGGTGAAAGAACGGAGTGTATTCTTGTTAATACAACTCAAAGTGCAGATTGTGATGTGTTTTAAATAAAGGTTTTGCAGACTCTTCTGGTATGAATGTACTTTAGAGCTGATGAACATAAACGTGGGAATGAATGGGTTATTTTCTCTTTGCAGGAGAACAGCATCGTCCTCAATGGATCGGTCATGTTCAATGCTACACGCATCCCTAACTCCGCGGGAGATGTGTATTTCGATGAAGGCATGGAGAGGTATAAGCTCTGCATGTGTGCAGATGGGACTCTGTTCCGTGTGCAGGTGAAATATCCCAACATGGGCTGCCAGACTTCAGATAACCCGTGTAAAAAAGCTCACTAGGAGACTTGACTGGAGTCTGCTCTTACATCTCCCTACAGTCTGTCACCACTGAAGTCAGATTACAAATTTGCATATATATAGAAAATTCTATAGGACATTCATCATGACTTGCACATTATGATACCTCTGCAGGAGACCTGATAAATTCTGTATTCCTTATTTTGTTTGCCAAACAGGAATTGTGTTACAGATCATTGCCACTTGGCCAAAGATACAAACACACATGCAAGTGCTGAAGTATTTTTATTGTTCTGCAGGTGTGCCAACTTTATCTAAAATGAAATAATGCCATATCAGTGCGTAACACTTTAACATACTGTCTTTTACACTGCCTACTGATTAAAAGAAACTACAGTATTTACTTTTTGCCTTACCGTCCAGTATTACCACTATACAGACCTTGCAAAGGGGTTGTGTAGGATCTTATTTGCTCATTGTTCTGGCAGCTTTGTTTGATATTTTTGTTTTATTATATTCACTGACAGGCGTGAGACACTACATGATTATTATAATGATTTAAGTAATATTAAATTTGAGATAAACTGAAAAACACAAGGTATATTTTAAGCCATCCAGTAAAACTGAGTAGGTCTCTTTGTTGGACTGTCCATAATGCACGTGCCAATGGATTTACAAGGGATGATATAGAATATAATATTTATGTAATATTCTAATTTTGTTGCAAAACATTTTTTTACGACAAAATAATACAATATTGACAAACAGAAGGAGAGTGTGTGCACTAAGTTATGCTACAGATTAATGCAAATCTCTTTAAATGTTGATGAATGTCAGGAAAGCTTAAATCAGTAGCGTGGTTTGAAGCCTATATTGAGTGGTTTGAATTTTGTGCAATATATATAGTATAAAAGATTTGACACTCATTTTTGCTTTGGATTGTCTTGTCTGTTTTATAATGTTGAGAAACGTCATGAAGTAGTCGCTCTCAGAGAATCACAGATGTTGTCTGTTGTGTTTTTGATCAGCTAAATAAAAAAAAAAAAAAAAAATGTCAATCAGCCTTATTTGAAAAAAATGTCCAACATTTCATTGCTATGTTTGTTTCAATAAAGAAACATGTTGCTATGTGAAACTTCTTATCGTTGGTCTCAGGAAATGTCTCAAGTCTTTACATGGTCATTTAAAACCATAAAAGAATACTGTGTCTCATTACGCTGGTTTATTATCTAATAGAATGTGCAGCCAGGGCATGGTTCTCCTCGCCATAAACTGTTAAGTTGTCTATCATACATGTAGAGGAAAAGAATCACAGTAAGACATTAACCAGACATGTAAATGATTGAATGAATCACAGAATGGCATCTTTAGGGAAGGTGCATGTCAAGTGCGACACAGCAAAATACTGTTCAGACTTTGATCAGAACTGCCGGAGACAGTCGGAGTTGATACGCTGGAAGCATCCGGGTGTGTAAAGACAGTCACAAGTTTCCTGTCAGCTCGGCAAAGAGTGAATACACAGGTGAGTTTGATGTTTTTAATTAATTAGCTGTTTATATTATGGACTTCTTTTAATCTACATTACTGTGATGAAGAGTGGTACAAGTTTTGCATTTGGTCTTGTAGCATTGGATTTAGTGATTTTAGTAAAGCTTATACAGAGACTTAGTCCTACTGGTAAAAATGGATCTTATTTTGTCTTTTGGAGTGAGCCTCTGAACTGTCATTCATGATTTAACTGCACTCTCAGGTCAGGTTGGGATGGCGGTGGCCCAGGGCCCGTTCTTGGCTGCTGTGCTCCTCCTCGTCTCTTGGCTCCACTGCTCCTCTCCCCTACCTGCCTGTCCGGAGTCCTGCGCCTGTCAGAGCACTCCCCTGCTGAACTGTTCCTCCGCTGGCCTTTCCTTTGTGCCCCAACAAATCCAAGACTCTGTAACCGATTTAGACCTGTCTCATAACCTCCTTGACTCTGTAACACTCTACCGACCACATCGCAGCCTCAGGAATGTGTGGCTGGGAAACAACAGTATCACACACTTGTCTCTCTGCGTGGAGAGAAGCATCAGAGGTAGACATGTACATCGCCTGAGACCTCAGAGCAGATGGGGATGTGTATCTTGGGCCCCCACCCTGCAGCTGCTATCTGTTGAGAGGAATCAGCTTGAGCAACTCCCACAGGGTGAGTCAGTGTGATATGGTAATAAACCACATATATAAAACACAGTCACAGCACACGTACAGCAGCACATTTAATAAAGAAAAGATATAACACAACAAAGCAGTATTGGCAAAAGTAAAAGTACTCATTGGGCATTATTGTCCCTGTTAATATTATTACATGATCATTATCGATGTGTTCACATATACGCAGCACAATAATGCCCTTGTTTGGTCAAAGTGGGAGTATTTTAATTACTTAAGATATGGCTGGATAGTTTAATCAATAACAATTTGTCATTTTATAAACTGATCATATGTTTTGTATGAAAAGATCTGATAATGGCTTTTCAACTGATGTAGAAATGTAATGGAGCCTCAAATACAAGCACTGGAGTGAAGTACAATTACCTCAGCTGTACTTAAAGTATTAATTAAGTAAATGTTCTTTCCAACACTGGTGTCAACACATATGTACAGTAAGAAAAGCTGTAGAACTGAGTAATCCAAAACATTATAATCACAAAATTTAAATCATCAGCCACCAACATCAATAGAAATGCCAACCGATATGAGCACAGGGTGTCTACAGGTCCTTAGATAGTCTTAAAATGACTTAAATTAAGTTTTCTCAATGTAAGGCTTAGAAAGTCTTAAATATTCAGATTCAATGGGTCTTATATTTTGGGTCACATTACCATGAAATTTTCTCTAAATAGCATTATTATTATAGGGATGAGATTTTGTTTCCTTACTGTTCATTTTGAACTGACAGCAGTGTGTTTACTTGGAGAGAGTACTTACACATGTGTCTCACACACACATACATATATATTGTGTATTTCCATTGCAGGTTTGGTCTTGAATTTCATATAAGGTGGTATTAAAAAGTTCTTAAAAAGTCTTCAATTTAACTTATTATGTTCACAGTAATGCATAGTATCTTGTAATGATTTATAGACCACACCCATTTGTCCAGAAGTCAAATGGTTACATGAAATGTCCATTGTCTGGGTGTGTGCCCATGATGTACATGCTGTAGTATGTAAGGTAGTAAAGTGTGTAAACAGGAGGTAGACAAAATGACATACACACACTTAATAGATTTCAATCTTGATGAAGATGAACATCACTACAAAATGCTTAGAAAATATTGGCTGTGTGTATGTGAAGAGGATGTGTGAAGTGCAGTGTGAGTGGTTTAGTATATCTGTGGGCTTCTATCCTTGTTTTTCAGTGGCTACAAGCTTTTTTGTCTTGTGACCCCCTTTCAACTAAAACATGATCCATTTACCGCTCAGATGTGTCTGAGGTTAGAGTCTTTGACTCAACTGATTAAACATCCCAGGCCTTAAAGGTAAAATCACAGATCAGGGGCAAGAAGATGACTCTAATTCTGTGTAGCAGAATGTTGTAGGGTTCTTTCCTGTCCCATTTACCATGTTGTGAATTTAATCAGGAAAATTACACATGGAAAAAAAATGTTTTTGTGTTCTGGCGATGAAAGCCTATGCATCTGATAGTGAAGTTGCCAAGTCGACACTAATTGCCCTCCGGAGTGTTGTTGAGAAATTTCCATGAGTCAGACCTGAGAGGTAGGGCCACCACTCATAGGCATATTGTTTGCCAAATTCTGTAAAAAAACGTGTACCTAGGTAGGGCCGGGCAATATATTGATATCATGATATGAAATGAGATATCGTCTTAGATTTTGAGTATAGGCGTAACAGTGAAGTGATGTAATTTACCAGTCTGCCTTTACCTCATGATGGATCATTGCTTATCAAGAATCCATTGTGTAAATAAATGTCTTAAAGAAAGCACCAATAGTCAACCATATCATATCATTGCAGTATTGAAATTAAGATATTTGGTCAAAAATATTGTGATTTTTGATTGTCTCCATATCACCCAGCCCCAGTCTGAGGTCTGCTAATTTATCCATATGGGAAAATAAGTCTATGAGCTGTGCACGTTGTACTTACTGTCCTTTCATTTGAGTCTCACATATAAACAAACCCCCTCATTGATAGCCCTTATCTTTAGTACTTTGCTCCACTCAGAAATTATTAAACTTCCCAAGATAATGACACTGTACACCCTTCAGTCAGTCACAGCTTTTACTGACATTCCAGTGGCTAGGTGCAAACAAGCAGTTTAACTTTTGAGCCCCCCCCCAATCATGTTATTCTATAAAAACCCTGCTGCTCAGCTGAACATATGTGTCTCAGAGAAATGCGTTCACTATGGTTCCTTTAAAGGCATGTGTGAACAGCCCATTTACTTAGCAAGAGCTGTGTTGACAGTCATAGACTTGGTTCCTGTTTGGTATTCAGCTCACAGCACCCTCAGTGCCTCTCTAATGAAGCACAGACCCACAGTGCCTTACTTCAGCCCAGCAGTCTCAGGGAGATTGTCTCAGGCTAGTGAAAAGGAGGAGACAGAAAGGAATGAGCACGACAGGAAAAAAAAAAACCCTAGCCATTAATTAGGGATATTGTGAGCGTTTTCACAGTGAAAATAATCCAGAAGAATTTGGATCCATACTCCAGGAAAGAAGTGTTCATCGATTTGGACATTTTACACTATTCACTACCGAGATATCCAGAGCAAGAGCACGCAAAATACCTTTAGGTGGTATTATTTCATCTCAGCATTGAAAAGAGTGCAGTACTGCAAACACATCAACTTGTAGTTAACAATTAACAGTTTTTGACCTTGCAAATCACAGTGAAGAATGTAAAGTAGTACAGGACTGAGACAAGAAGGGACAAACCAACTTGTCAAAATGTGTAGCCACACTGGACTAGTAAAAGAGACTGGGCTTAATTTCAGACTAGGCTTTTAATTGAAGTTTTATGGTATGTGCGCTAGTAAATGGCAAGAGACAAAGAATATTTTGATCCTGTTTGAATTGTGCTATGAATTACACTTGTGTTTTGCAATTTTAAGTTATTTTGCAAGTCAAGAAAATAGCAGTTTGTTGTTGGTTTGTCATAGTTGTATGTAAATACACCATAGATTTTTATAATAACTACACACCGGACCCCAAGATGGCGCCTTTTCATTCCAATGGAGTTGCTCGCCTGGCGCATGTGCCAAAAAAGTTTTCTAGCTTCTGGGTTTACTTCCGTGGTATGCGGCCCACTGAATATGCACAGTAGCGTTTCTCCTGCTGGCCCCTCCCGCGAGTTCCCGCTTGCCCTATATACTTCACACTGTAGTAACATCACAGATTTAAATCGTTTTTCTTGGTTTGAGAGGCCTGGAATACATTCAGTGAACTACATTTCTCGTCTCCCACGATATATGTCACCTAGCTAGCTAGCATGGTAACTTAGCTATGTCCATGCACAAAAATATCGTTATCTTACCTGATGTGTTTTATGGAGCGACTCCCAGTCGTTTTGTCAGCTCAGACGCCAAAGAACGAGCAAGACCCATTGTTCACCTAAGTATATCCAGTACAAAAGACAGGCATCATAGCTTCACTGAGAGAAGATGGTATGACGTCACTTATGGAGCTTGTGTAGTCTTTCTAATCAGCAGTTTTATAACAAACTGTTACTTTCTTGACTCGCAAAATTATCTTTAAAATTGACAAACGTATGTGTAATTCATGGCACTATTCAAACAGGATCAAAAAATGTTTTGCCTCCTGCCGTTTACCACTATTTTTTCTGAAATCAGGTTACCATGGTTGTCCACCAAAAGGGGAGGGACTTCGCCTTTTATTAAAAAACCTATAATATACACAACATTCCTTGCTCCTTTTTAGTGCAACACCATCATGGTTATTGTTGAGTTCTAATTACAGCTCTTGTTTCTGTCATCCAGGACTGGAGGGCAGTGAGTCCTTACAGGTTCTGCAGCTCTCCTTCAACAGGATCTCAACTCTACGACCAGGAGACCTGAGCCACCTTCGACAGCTAAAAGAGCTACACCTACAACATAACCTCATCACAAGTCTCCATCCACAGATGTTCCAGGATTTAGCCCAGCTCCAGGTAACACTGATTTTGAATCTAACTTGTTAAAAGCATGCACAGAGTATTAAGTACTCCAGCAAACTCAGGAGTGAAAGATAATGTAGCTTTTAATTTGGAAACTTTAAATGGTATTAGCAGTCACATTACATGTCTCAACATGTGATGTATGTCCATACTGTGTCCCCCTCAAAGGTTCTCGATCTGAGCTTCAACATGTTGACCAGCCTCCATCCTTTGACGTACTTCTCTCTCCGTAACATTGGAGCTGATGTTCAGCTGGGTGGGAACAGCTGGCAGTGTGATTGCAGTATGCGCAGTTTAAGAAGGCGGATGGCATATGACAGCAGCAGAGGCCTGCAGGCTTGGAGCGTGGTGTGTGCTACCCCCTCCATCATCTCTGGCAGAGACCTGCTACAGGTAGAGGAGCATGACCTTAACTGTTTTAGTGCTGAGGACGGGCCAGAGGTCCACCGAGATGTGACTGTCTATAGTGGCTCAGAAATACTGCTGTCTTGCTCTACACAAGGTAACACAGTCCAAAAAAAGTGCAAAATAACTTGAATATAGTATCTCAAATGTAGGTTAATCTAACTGCATGTTAATGATGTCTCTGTTACAGATTCAACATGGTGGCCACCCAGTGGTCAAGCATCCGTGAGCCAACCTCAGGCTGGTCTGCTCATCAGTGACGTCACAGAGAGAGACGCAGGACTATATGTGTGTGTGTCTGAAGAACACGAAGTTATGTCTGTTTTTAACCTTCAAATCAGTAAAATAGGAGGTGCAAGAAGAAAAACTAGAAGTTTACCCAGAACCAGCCAAGAGATCATCCCACAGGACACCCCAGACAGGATAGGTCAAGAAAGGAATCTGAGAGCTACACAGTCTAACTTGGCTCTGGCTGTGTGTCTGTCTGTTTTCATCACATTTCTGATAGCCTTTATCCTAGGAGTCCTAGCAAGACCTTGTATTGATGTACTTTGGGGAAGGATCACCAAGAAGAAAAGTACCTCTGCGACCCACTCTGTCTCATCTGTAGAACAAAGACAATATGACAATGAGGCCTACTACGATGGTGAAGAACCACAACAAATAGGAGCTCACAGGGAAAGAAGAGTCACATTTAGCACTGTAGACTATAGAGAAGACAGAAATGTACAGTATTATGATACCGTAGCTGGTGACAATCAGGAAACCATCAACAATGAAGCAGTGATTGAATGTGAAGTACGCAATACAAATACAGCTAGAGATTCAGGAAGTGAAAACAGCGTACGACTGAGTATAACAGAGGATAACCAGAGAGATGGCACAGTACTCTCAGGAGGCCACACACACAGCATAGAGTTTGAACACATCCCAGACCCTGTTGAACAGGAGAAGAGGAGAAGCTTGTCTTCCTGCTCGGATTCTTCACAATCTGACAAAGTTTTCAATGAGGACCAAATGACCCAGAAAGCAACAACAAAGTCTCATCAGCTGGCAGAGGACTCCTCAACAGATATCAGAGTGGAGGTGTCACAGATTTCTGTAGAGGGCACAAGTAAACTTCCTGGATTTTCTCCAGAGCCCTTTGCAGATTGGTCACCACATACAAATAACACCAACCTTACAGACCCTGAACTGTGGCAGGAGAATGAAGAACAATTTGAATTTAGTGATTCTGTTCATAGTTCATCTGCAAGGTCCAGCAGTGTGCACGGTTCTTTTAATGATTCAAAACTGATTTTGGTGCCCACTTCTGATAAACAGAGGACAGATGATTCGTCCAGCTCTAGCTCATATGTCAGTGAGGATGAGCCCACACAATACACTGTGAACTCAGACCAAGAGGAGGAGGAGGAGGATAAAGAAAGGAAGCACAATAACCCTGAGGTCACTAACGCTAGCCTTAAACAGGGTGTTAGTTTTGAACAACAGATCCACAGTGTAGACTCTATCAGGCCTACAGTGCGATTTAATCAGGATAATTACAGTTACGACAAGCAAAGGCCTGTAGTGAGACCAGAGGATTCCTTTTCCTCTCATTCCAGTGACAGTGATGTGGAGGACTACACAGTTAAAAAAGGGCAAGTACCCAGTTTGGTTGTTACCAGTCACAGTAAGAGTCTGGACACTGGAGCACCTTCACCCTCTGCTGCTTATCCGTCCTCTTCAAGCAGTGAGAGTGAAGCAGAAATCAAAGACCTAAAGGTGGAACACAGTATTGGCAGATTGAATGAGGGCATCAAAATCAACAAGGCAGAAACACTGTCAACTGACCGGGATCGCATATGTATCCCCCCAATTAAGAGGCGTGTAGTTATCAAAACTCCGCTACCAGCTTCTGATTCATCCTCTAGTGATGAGAGTACGGATGAAACAACAAATCACAGAAAGAAGCAGGAACAAGGAGAGGTGAACATGGCAGGGCAATCTGTAACCCATGATGCCATGAAGCCACAATGTCCTGCTCTAGATCCTGCCCCTGCTACTACCATTAAGAGGCGGGCCCCATTGCCACCTATTGATTCTTCTAGTGATGAGAGTGCAAATAAAACAATGGAGCAGAAGCAGAAGCAAGGAGAGACGCAAATGATGAGGCTTCCTATTAAAGTATCTCAAACAGCAAGTTGTGATTCAGACATACAATGGCCTGCCCTAGATCTGGAGCATATTCCTCGCATCAAGAGGCGTCTAGATATCAAAGCACCATCACCTGATTCATCTTCTAGTAGCGACAGTGAGGATGAAACAACAACACATATTAAGAGGCAGGAGCAAGAGCAGATGAACATGGCAAGGCCTCCAAGTAAAGTATCTGAAACTGCACGTTATAACCCACAAACACAATGGCCTCTCCTTGATCTTCAGCATACTAAACACATCAAGAGGCGTCTAGATATCAAAGCACCGTCCCCTGACTCTGACTCATCTTCTAGTAGTGACAGTAAGGATGAAACGACACACCACACAGAGATGCCAGGGAAGGTGGAGATTGCAGGACTTCCATTGCAAGAATCTCAAACAGGAAGTCATGATCCAAGCACAGTGTTTCCTTCCATAGATCTTGAGCACATTCCCCACATTAAGAGACGTCTAGATATCAAAGCACCAACACCACCACCGGATTCGTCTTCTAGTAGTGACAGTGAGGATGAAACAACACACCACACACAGAGGCCTGGGAAGGTGGAGATCACAGGACTTCCATTTCAAGAATCTCAAACAAAGAGTCATAATCCAGACACAAAATGGCCTGCCCTTGATCTTCAGCAGACAATGCACATCAAGAGGCGTCTAGATATCAAAGCACCACCACCACCTGATTCATCTTCTAGTAGTGACAGTGAGGGTGAAACAGTAAACCATATCACCAAGCAGGAGCAAGTACAGATGAACATGGCAAGGCTTCCAAGTAAAGTACCTGACACAGCACGTTATAACCCACAAGCACAATGGCCTCTCCTTGATCTTCAGCATACTAAACACATCAAGAGGCGTCTAGATGTCAAAGTACCATCACCTGACTCTGACTCATCTTCTAGTAGTGACAGTGAGGATGAAACAACACACCACATACAGAGGCCTGGAAAGGGGATCACAGGACTTCAATTTAAAGAATCTCAAACAGAGAGTCGTGATCCAGACACAAGGTGGCCTGCCCTTGATCTTGAACATATTCCTCGCATCAAGAGGCGTCTAGATATCAAAGCACCATCACCACCACCTGATTCATCTTCTAGTAGTGACAGTGAGGAGGAAACGACACACCACACAGAGATGCCAGGAAAGGTGGAGATTGCAGGGCTTCCATTGCAAGAATCTCAAACAGGAAGTCATGATCCAGACACAAGGTGGCCTGCCCTTGATCTGGAGCATATTCCTCGCATCAAGAGACGTCTAGATATCAAAGCACCATCACCACCACCTGATTCATCTTCTAGTAGCGACAGTGAGGATGAAACAATCAACCATATGAACAAGCAGAAGCAAGGACAGATGAACATGGCAAGGCCTCCAAGTAAAGTATCTCACACAGGACGTTATAACCCACAAACACAATGGCCTCTCCTTGATCTTGCGCATACTAAACACATCAAGAGGCGTCTAGATATCAAAGCACCGTCCCCTGACTCTGACTCATCTTCTAGTAGTGACAGTGAGGATGAAACAACACACCACACAGAGATGCCAGGGAAGGTGGAGATTGCAGGACTTCCATTGCAAGAATCTCAAACAGGAAATCATGATCCAGGCGGGATGTTTCCTTCCATAGATCTTGAGCATATTCCTCACATTAGGAGGCGCCTAGATATCAAAGCACCAACACCACCACCTGATTCGTCTTCTAGTAGTGACAGTGAGGATGAAACAACACACCACATACAGAGGACTGGAAAGGTGGAGATTACAGGACTTCCATTAAAAGAATCTCGAACAGAGAGTCATGATCCAGACACAAGGTGGCCTGCCCTTGATCTTGAGCAGACAATGCACATCAAAAGGCGTCTGGATATCAAAGCACCACCACCGCCAACTAACTCATCTTCTAGTAGTGACAGTGAGGAGGAAACAATCAACCATGTAAACATGCAGGAACAAGGGCAGATGAACATGGCATGGCTACCAAGTAAAGTACCTGAAACTGCACATTATAACCCACAAACCCAGTGGCCTCTCCTTGATCTTCAGCATACTAAACACATCAAGAGACGTCTAGATATCAAAGCACCATCACCTGACTCTGACTCATCTTCCAGTAGTGACAGTGAGGATGAAACATCAGGCCATAATAAAAAGCAGACACCAGCAGGGGTGGAGTTTGCAGTGCCTTCATTTGAGAAATCTCAAACAGGAAGTCATGACCCTGGCACAATGTTTCCTTCCATAGATCTTGAGCATATTCCTCGTATTAAGAGGCGTCTAGATATCAAAGCATCATCACCCTCTCTTGAGCCACCCTCTAGTTGTGAGATAGTGGAGAAACATGAACAAAGGAAGGTACACATTTCAAGACATCCATCTCAAGGATCTCAAGCAGAAAGTCGTGATCCAGACACACAGTGGCCTGTCGTAGATCTTGAGCATACTATGCATGTCAAAAGGCGCCTAGATATCAAAGCACCACCACCAAGTTCTGATTCATCTTCAAGTAGTGACAGTGAGGATGAAACAACATACCAAGTTAAGAAAGGGGAGCAAGGAGAGACACACATGGCAAGGCCTCCAATGGAAGTATCTCAAACTGTAAGTTATGACCCACAAACACAATGGCCTCTCCTAGATCTTGAGCATACTAAACATGTCAAGAGGCGTCTAGATGTCAAAGCACCATCACCTGACACTGACTCATCTTCAAGTAGTGACAGTGAGGATGAAACAACACACCACACAGAGAGGCCAGGGAAGGTAGCCTTTGCTGAGCTTCCATTACAAAAATCTCAAACAATAAATCAGGATCCAGAATCACAGTGGCCTGCTCTTGATCTCGAGCATAATTTGCGCATCAAGAGGCGTCTAGATATCAAAGCACCATCACCAGTCTCTGATTCATCTTCTAGTAGTGACAGTGAGGATGAAACAACACTCTCCACAAAGACAATGAGGCCAGGGGTGGTGGGAGTTGTAGGGCCTCCATTTCAAGAATCTCAAACAGTGAGTTGTGATCCAGAAACACAGTGGCCAACCGTAGATCTCGGTAATATTACTCGCATCAAGAGGCGTTTAGACATTAAAGCCCCATCACCACCTCCTGATTCATTATTAAGTGGTGGAAGTACAAATCATACAATGGAAGGAAAGAGAGAGGAAGCTATCAAAATTAGTCCAGGTCACTCATCAGGCAGCTCAGATGAGCAAGAGAAGAGTATTGAAAATTTAAGATACCCCCCACCAACAGTAAAACCAGATTCAAGATGGCCTACACTGGATCTCAACAGTGACCTCTATGTCAAAAGGCGCCTGGATATCAGGGCACGTTCACCTCCATCTGAGTCATCTTCCAGCAGTGATGAGAGTGAAAGTGGGACTACAAACCCACCTAAAACGGATGTGGGGATTACAAGTCATAGACCAGAAGGAAAGATGCCGGACTTGAAAGTGAACGTCCCTCCTGTCAAGAGGCGTTTGAATATCAAAGCACCATCAGCACAACCAGATCCGGTTCTTAGTAGTGTGTCTCCAAGCTCTCAACAATCTGAATCATACTCTTCCAGAAGCAACAGTGAGGATGAGCGCAGAGACCAAGCTAAAGCAGGACTGGGAGTATCTGCCCCATTAAAGACCATGGAAAAGGAGTTCATTACAGCACCAAAGACCCCACTGATAAACATTTCTCACCGCCCAAAGGCAGACCACAATATCAAATTAGAAAAGTATACAGTTGTTACAGATGATGTGGGGGTAAAAACAAGTGACAACATCAGCAGACCGCCAGAGATAAACCCAGAACTCCAGTCACGATGGGCAACAATGGATCTTGGCATCTCCCGATTCAGAAAGCGTCTTGAAATCACATCGCAAACACGTGAACCACCAAATCTGCCCTCATCACCTCCACCTGACTCCCCCTCGTCTTCCAGCAGTGAAACTGGGACTGGGAGCAAACGCAGCAAAACAAGACAAAAGAGAGAGGGAGTTGGAATTCAAGGAATCATACACACAGAATCATCTGTAACCACCAAAAACAAAGTGCCGAGGAAGGCTGGGACAGAGCTCAGAAGCCAAACATCAGAGGAGTCTCCTTCAGTGCACCCCCATTTGAGTCTCACTAATATCCCCCATGTCAAGAGGACTTTGGATATCAGAGCACCGTTACAAAGGGAATCATCCTCCAGCAGCAGTAGTGAGGATGAGACGGTAGCCCATAGTGTTCCTGACCTAAGTCTCGGAGTCCCACGTGTAAAGAGGCGTCTGGATATCAAGGCACCATCACCAGAGCCAAGTAATTCCTCCAGCAGTGAGAGTGAAAATGAGGTGACACAAACCACTGTAAACCAAAGCAGATATCCATCCAACATGTCAGGAATGATAGACAACGACCATCTAATCACATATAAGCGTTTAATTATGAAACCGTCATTGCCGCTGGGTAATTCTTTCACCCCCAGTGGCATGGATCAAACTATAGACCACACAAAACAAAGATATACAGGGACTGAAATAGTAACTGTTACACGAGGAGGTCCATTTGATAGTGTGGGAGACAGAGATGCATCTCTTTCCCCAAAGAGAGTTCCCAGTATGAGCTTTGATGATGTAGTAAAGAAAAGGCTTGAGCAGTCCAGAAGCACCACAGATTTAGACGTTCCACCTGAGATAAGGTGGACTGGTGTCGGCCGTCAGCTTTCTGACCATTCCCTTCCCGGTCCAAGGAGACATCTGGATGTAGGCGTATCATCTCCACAGCAGCCTCCACCTGCAAAGCCAGAATGTCCCCCATCTGACTCCTCCAGCAGTGAAAGTGATGATAACATAAAACAAGACAAGGGGAAGGCAGATGTGACACTGACGCATAAACACTCATCTCTTAGTGCCAGTGGTGTTTCTCTTGCATCCAGCAGAGCTCTTGACAAGTTTGACAGCCCACCCAGCAGCACAAGTGAGCTTTTGAGGGCTTTATCTGAGGACACAAATAAAAGGAAAGGCCTCAGTGCCCTAAAAGCCATGTCAACGGAGAGACAAAAGTGGGACACAGTAGACGGAAATTTAGATAAGGGAGCATCTCCTACATTTGATGACACCAGTTTTAACTATCGCAGGTCTGAGGAGGACGTCAAGCCCCTGGCCAAACAGCCACTACCACAATTACGTCTCTCCTCTACTTCAGTAGATGAGAGAAGAGCTAAAGATCTGCTGTACGACATTCCTCGCTACAGAAGGCATGACATAGGAGATACTGAACCACCACAGAGGGCTCCACCTCCTGTTCCAGCAACACCACCACCACCATATGAGGCAGTAGGGCTGTCACGGAGGTTTCCACAGAGCAGTAAGACACAAGGGTTGGAAGGCACCAGATCTTATCTGCAACAGAGCAGAAAGACAGAGGAATCAACAAGTTCTTCACTTACGTCACAAAACCTGGCGGTCTATTTCGACTCCTCTAACGTGAACATTAGTGAAGTCTGATTTTTTTTAAAGAGTCCCCGCATCCTTAACACTGACAAAACAAGCAAATGATTGGCACTGTGTTGATCTTAGGCAGCCAGTGAATAAGATGTTGTAAATTATATTTTCAAGTATTAAGCTTGAAATGAAATGTAAATACTAATAATTTATTGTGTGTAACTGTTGTAGAGAGGAATAGAGGGCACTATATTTGTCTTTCAGATTTGCCCTATTTCTGTAAATCATCCATAACAAAGACATTTGTCTGTAATTAATTTTGCAACAAGAATCCATATCATCTTGTCATGTATAATTAATACACATATAAAGAGACCTTAATAAAATCTTATCGATGAACAATATAAGGCTGAGCTTTCACTTGTAGATAGATCTAAATAATGACAACAGCGTGACAGTATTACTGTTTTACAGTTTTTTTAAGGACAAGCTGTTAACTTAAGAGCCCAAAAATAAGCCAGTAAGTTAATAAACCCTTTTATTTATGTATATAGACATAGGTTATAGTGAAAACAGACATATAGACACTTACATAGTTTACATACATATATACAGTTGGGACAAGGGTGTTCATCCTCCTGCATTGTCATGGGAGAATACTAAAACATTGATCTCTACACAGTATTTGGTAAGCAATCCAACAACTACCTCAATCTTAGATGTTATGCTGATGGTGGATGCATTGTAATGACATTAGAGGCTTTCGTATAGTTTCAGCTGTGGTGGATTTCAATGACATGAGAGCTGATGTATTTTATCTTCACAACAAATTTTAATGTGTGTTTCCTGGGTATCATGACAGTGTAAATAAATAAAACTCCATCCTGTATACTGGCTGCAGCTCTGTGGAGCTTACAGCACGTGTACGGATGTCTAAGATGGGGTTAATGCAGGAGGGAACTCCTGCTCCACCGTGAGGTTACAGGTGTGTTCCAGGTCTTAATAGACACAATCATGTTGTTTATCAGAATTAAGATAACATGATCGTGAATATCAAATTAAGCACAAAACACTTGCACAAATTTCTGTACAAAACAAAAACGTGTTTGAAAAATGTTTTCAAAAAATCTCATCCATTCACAAAAGGCTCTGTTGGAGCATGCATGCAAATATTAAATCTGACGATTCAGCATCACACCACAGCCAAAGACAAAAATTTATACATGTGTTACAAGAACATTATACTAGGCGAAAAGAACAGCATAGCATCATCACACAGTTCCAAACTGTCAGTGTCCACTGTTTTGATTAGATCCTACGGGTGGTACAAAGCAATGCTTTCAGCAAACCTACCTTTCTACTCAAGCCTTAAGGACCTCGTCCTGAGAGGGTCACTGGTCTTCCACTGTAGTTATATTAACACTGTCAGTGTTGGGAGAGATGCTACTAGTAAGAGGAGACCTGAAACTATCAGTGGACTAAGGAGGACAAAACAGATGCCACACATCAAGACAAAATGGACACCAACAAGCTCTATGTCAACTTATAACACAGCCCAAACAGTCTGAATTCATCCTGAAGTAATCCCTGACCACTCAGTGTGTCTGTGTGTGCATGTGTTGTATGTGTTCTCACACGTGTATATACATTTGGGTTTGTTGGTATGTGTGTGGGACACACAAAGTGACTTCCATGTTTTGAGGCACAATAATACTCTTACCTACAGAACGTAGATACATAAATCGGTCGTCGGACCAATAAATGCTGATCAGAGCACTAGTGGCTCACCGCTGTACTGTAATAAGAGTTAGTAAGCAGCAATGCTGATTTGTTTGGTGCTATGAGGTCTGAAGCCTTTGCAGGGAGTTAGCAAACTGTTAGCATTAGCTGGAGCAAAACAGCAGGAGGGAACAAAAAATGGAGGGGAAAAAGAAAGGGAAAAAAATCACTGGCACAAATCAATAGTAAACAGCACAGGTACCAGAGACCTGCGATCAACCTTTTGACACAGTGTGCTTCTTGAGGAACTCCTATCTAACTCAAAATATGACAAACAATAGTTAGTGCCATCTGTCCAGAAAAGCTCAAGTTCAAGTTCATTGCACAGATATATAATATTTAGATGTGCCCAGGTCAGAGTGACCCTGTTTAAGACTCAGACACAATGCATGAATGGTCACTGTTGGTTTCTCTGTGCTGAAGACAAGGGGTGAGGAGTGGTTCTCCCACACAATACCATTTTGCTTCCATCGTCCACGTATGATACCATGTTATCCTAACACAGACAGCAATATGACATGTCACAGTGAGAGAGAGCAATGCCACCGGGGATTGCTGCAAGCTTGCCCACTATGCAACTTCAGTCGGGAACATAACTCCACAATGGCAGCCCTCCGCCTCCACGCTCTGGGCAGCATGCACCCAGGCTGCAAACCCAGCGCCCCCACCCTAGCCCACCCACAGCCCGAACCCCTCCTCTACCAGGAAGCACCCACAGTCACTGCTTTACCATTTTTGTATTGTTTACTTATTGGTTGTTGATTCTCATAGTCGTTGTTGTCACAGTTGTATTTTTTCCATTTTCCTTTCTGCTCTGCGCCTATGACATCTGTCTTTCCTTGTACCATTCCACAAACTCGTCCAACAAAACTGGCCCTGAAAAAAAGAAAAGACAGAGTAGAAGAGATTAGAAAAACAATTTACGTAACACTCACATGAATGTCACTGTCACGTTCATATGTGTTCACTCACAGGCACCATCCTCGTCATAGTTACTGAGGTCCAGGTTGATTGTCCTGCTGAACTCTAAAACATTGCACCATTGGTCTTTGTTGATGACTTTGTACTTGGATTGCTGAGGAAGAGTAAACAAATACATTCAATTAATGCAGTGCAGCAACATTTAGGGCTGTAACACACCAAACCAGCGGTCAGCCTTAGCTCAAACGGTGAGCATCTGTTGCCCTAGTTTTTGCTGTGTGTTCCGCACCACTGGCACCAGTCGGCTTTTTATCAGCCAATTCAGCATGTTGAATCAGTGTTGGAGACAGCGTGGTCCACCGGTGAATGAAATCACTCTGATTGGCAGTTTAGCTCAGTGCACGAGAAGAGAAACGGAAGTGAGGAAAGTAAACAAACAGCTAAAATCAAAAGGGCCTCAATTCGAAACAATTGTGTCATATTAGGAACGATTATGTTTTTAGCCACTGAGATCTTCAGCAGAAACAGTTCATAATTGTGTTAATTTTTCGCTAGCTCACAGTACATTTCCTCTGTTCTCTCAGCATCTGGTTGTGTTGTTAAGGTGCTAACTGGCTAACTAGCATCTTGAATCCTACCTGACCAGTTCTGGTTTCTCTTTTTTAATGATGAATACAGACTACTGCATCCACTGGTATAGAGAGTTATTTCCTTGCATGTAGGTGCAGAACGTACATGCTGGTTGGCCGTTGGCTGTAGACTTTAGTGTGTGTTCATGTGTTCCTTTTTGGCCGAGACATAGGCGACATTAGGCGACACGACAATTGCCCTTCGTCGCCAATAGTTTGGTGTTGGCTTGGTGTGTCTGGGCCTTAAATTGTGGATTGCTCTATCATGGCTGGAGTAATCCCATTTTAAGATGGTAGAGTTTTATTTTCTGCACATGGTTTCAGCTTTCACGTTAACCAGTTGCTGGCTCTAGCTTCATATTTAATGTACAGACATGTGAAAGGTAGCAATCTGCGTCTCCTATAAGCAAGGAAGCAAAGTGTATTCCTCAAAATGTTAAAGAAGTCCTGTAAACAGTCTGAATTAATTTTATCCTCAGCTACATGTCATCACGTGAATGATAATATTTAGTAAAGGAGTATGTTCTCTAGTTACAGTAAGTTAAAAGGGCATATTATGCATATTTTTAGGTTCATACTTATATTTCTGGTTTCTACTAGAACATTTTTTCATGCTTTAAAAACATTTTCTTTTCTTCATACTGTCTGAGCTGGTACATCCCTATTCATCCTCTGTCTGAGATGTTCTGTTTTAGCGATAGACTGTAAAAATAATGGACTTAGCTACCGTGACGTCACCCCTTGGTTTGTGGACTCCCATTCTGAAGCCTCTAGCTTAGCATTTTCGGCCATTCAGCTCTTTAGCAGCAATGGTGTGGAACTGTTTGTTACTGTTGGCTAGTGCACAGTAAATACAAGGCTATTCAGTGAAGGATGGAACATACTGTAGTCTCTGACCCCAGTCTTTTGTAGCTACATGCTTTTGGGTACAGTCAATAGAATGTCCATTCTATTGTACATGTCTGATGTACAATAGAAGGTTTTCACATAGAAAGCATTTGTTTATGGTCTTTTATCACAGAGTTTTTCAATGGCTGCAGAACTTGATTCTCACCCAAATCCTTATTTTTCATACAAAAATATTACGATTCAAGTCCGACTGCAGACGCCTCAGTGAAACCAATCAATTGCCCCCATGTTCTATGACAGTGTGCCAGCTATTGAGCCTTTCAGCAACTGCAGACCAGATTTCAATGACCATACGTTGTACCCCATTGATATGATGTGTGATATGACGCTGTGACTTCTCCCTTTTTTGACCTCCTTGGGTATATATTATTTGTTCTTTCAACAACAGGTTGTGGTTCTTAAAAGCTAACTGGCTAACTAGCGTCTTGAATCTGACCTGTTGGTGTCCCTTTTTTAATGACGAATACAGACTACTGTCACCACCTGCTATGGACAGTCATTTGCGGTGTGTTCAGGTGCAACTTTGTGGACAAAAAAGTCACAAAGGCGACACAGTGCAACAGTCAGCCTTCGTCACCACTAGTTTCTTAATGTCAATTGTGTGTCTGGGCTTTTAGTCAAGTCAAACAGGAATTCAAACAGTCATATATTTAACTACAGTATGAGACAACTCCAATTTGGTAAAATGTTGTAGAGGACATATGTGAGCATGACGCTTACCTCTAGAAACTGATTAAACACAGGAAACAGCGGCCACGTCTTTCCCAGAAGAAGCCCCAGCATACACTTGGCTGTGTTCAAGTCCAAACTCCTCTGATCCTTTTCCTGTCCAATCAAAACAACCAAAAGCTTCATGAAATCAATGCAAAGTGTCAACCACACTTTAAACAGAGGGTCAGACTGGTAATGTTATTATCATCAGTATTAGCCCAAAACACAGAAAAGGCTGAATTCTTTGACCTGTCGCTGTTACTGTTAGAACACTGTAGCTGAGTCACGTTTTCATTCTCTGCAACAGAGTGGGTTGCTTTGCTTAAGTCATTGTTTAATGTCTACGTGAGAGAAAAGTCAGGCTATGGAAATAGGCATTGATAAGTGTTTTCCCACTCAAAGTCAAACTGGAAAATTATCTTGACCTCCTTAAAACATCGAGGTTGTTCTGAACA